TAATTATTTCGGTACTTTTACGTTTAAAGGTAAAACTTTTCGGGGCGAAAATAAAAAGTAAATAATCCTGCGGGTAAACCGTGCGCAAACCAAGGCAGGAAAGTCGGAAAGAAATTGCCTGGCAAAATTGCAGCCGACTTTTTACAAGCATCTCTGAACATTGATGAGTTATAGTTTTTCTCTTGCAGAGAAAATTTAATAAGTTAACCCCTCGCAAAAGAAATATACATATGGAACCATACAAATTTACTTTTAATAGATTTCTATTTCTATTCATGATTTATTATACCTTTCTTTGAACTGTTTGCAAAAATCAATTACATTTAAACAAAATTGTTAGTAGGTATTATCTATGTGATCAGTATCCGAAAGTCTAAAGATATCAGTAGAAAAATTAATGATACCCTCTTTAGAAACCATGTTTTCAAATGTCATCAAAACAATCGAAAAAATAAATAAAGTCTTCAAAGATTTATTTTCAGTTTAACGACACCAGTGGTCAATTGTTGGCACTCTGAAGACCCATCAAAAATTTTCTTTGACACAATGAAACCAAAATATTTCGGCTATTTGTTGTATCTTCGGTGTGACCAGTAGGTAGTTTTCAGGTCTGATTTTTATCGAAAGTATCTTTTACAAAAAAATTGTTAAGCCGATGTCAGCTTTAAGGTGTGAAATGTCATAAGTTTTAGACAAAGTTATTAATAAGTTACAATGGTGAAATTAGCTTGCAAGTGATTTGGTACATAAATCTTGACAAAGATAATGTTTGTAACATGCTGACATCTTCTTAATTACTGAGGGCGAAGTGCTCTATTAGAGATAAAATAATAATTGAAAGGGGCGTTGGGTTAAAGCCATATTATCAAAGTGTCGCTCTAGTTATTAGCTCGTATATCATATGGCAGCTGCCAATGATGTCAGTTGACCTTCTTCCCTCCGTCTTTGTCTTACTTATTATTTTATATGCCTAGTTACAAGGGCCAAGTCTGTATGATCAATTATCTACTTCTTGTTTTGACATCTAGGAAATAACTTTAAGATAACTCCCCCAAGATTGAACCTAACTTCCGCAAGTATTTCACGAAGGATTACCCAATTCTTATATAACAAGTTTTTGCTCAGTTTGAGGCATAACTAATTATGTGGTTTTGACATAGGTAATACAAAAAATTATTAATGATGTTATATTTTTTTATAACAGAATAAAACATCAAATTAATAAAATGCTTCAGCTAAATTAAGCATCTTAATTAATATTTCTATAAATTGTCACGTATTGGCGCTTACTATAATGTGGTAGCCTTAAATAGCATTCCGAAAATAATATAAATCACAATGAAACAATATGGATCTGACCTTTATGACTTGTCGACAAATGATATTACACCCCAAAACATGCAACATCTGCTGTGATGTTTGCTCAAGTATTACAAAAATTGCGCAGAATTATGCTAATCTCAATACCACATAGTCAGAGGTGGACTTATAAGACCGACGAGGGCCCGAGGTAGCAAAATAAAATGGGTCCGCTAAGTCTGCTTAGTTTCTCTCCAAGAAGAGATTTTTATTATTTAAAATATGGTTCAATGCCTAATATTGAATTTATTAGTTGATCTTTCGCAAGCGCTCTCCCCCCAAAACCCTAAATATAATCATAGACATAACAAGTCTTTTCCACAAAACTTCGACCAGTTGCTATTTTTTTTTTTAAATATGGCTCATCCGTGTTGAATTCCATCTCAAATCACATAAGGTTTTCTATAAATTCCAACCCAAATGTGAAAAAACTCCGTTTTTTTCAATATTTCCCCTCCAAAATCCTTTTTAAATTTTTTAAATAAACTTTTGCCTTTTCTTCAGTTAAAATTTATGAGTTTGTTTTAGGAAAAAATTTGATTCTTTCAGTCTTAACTAAGGATTTTTCAAAGAAATTAAAATCTATATATAAAATATTTAAAAAAAGATTTTAAATAGTAAGAGTGGTACTTTTTGATGAAATAACGAGTTTTGCGCAAAATAGAATCTTATTTTATACTCTCTAAAAATGAATTAGTCAAAAATGACTAATTTTATAGTTATTAGTGGCTGCTTTTTCACTTGTACCATGGTTAACCATGGAATACCATGGTATCCCAAAATTTAACAGCCAATTCTTATGTAAAATTGTCACCTGAATACGAAAATACCGTCAAAAATTATGAAAGTGGATCAGTATTTGAGATAGTCAATTCCATATTAAATGGAAAATTTACTATATCTCAAAACTGTTCTACTTTTTTAACTTTTGACATTTTCGGATTAAGGAGACAATTTTACATAAGAATTGGCTGTTAAATTTTGGGATACCATGGTATTCCATGGTCATTTTTGACTAATTCATTTTTAGAGAGTATACTATTTTTTTCAAGAATTTAATTAAATTATTTCTTAAGATTCTGTACCATTATTTTTAGGTTAGAACCAACTGTAATGATGACATTTTAGCTTTATTTCTGTATGGCGTTTAATAATAATTTGACTTTTGAACTAGTATTAATATAGTCTTTCTATATAGACTTATAATATTAAAATTATTGTACCTACATTAAAAAAAAATTTGCTAAGCATATAATAATTTTAATATAGAAAGACTTCATATTAATACTATTTTAAAAGTAAATCGATTATAAACCTCCGTACAAAAGTACAGCTTAAACGTCACTTTAACCTAACCTAAAATGATGTGTCAAAATTTTAATAAATGCTTGAAAAAAATAGTACACAAAACTTTCCTCGCATACAATCTACTGCTTTGGCTGGCGCCTTAGCAGTGAAATGGATAATATGAGCTTTCATCCGGTTTATAATGTAATACATTGAAAATACTGTTTGTGATGTAACAAAACGCGTTTTTTCTACTTTTGGATTACGATATTTTTTAAACCTGACGTGGAGCATCGGATTCGAATTTAGCCCATCAAAAAGTATAACTAACTTACGTCATTGAAATTTGGTTGTGTAGACCTGTGTTATATAATGTAGTAATGATCTTTTTTCTAATCCCTGAAGAAGGCCTATTGCAGCCTGCACTAGCTTAGTTACGGGTCTAGGTACAGATGTCATAAAACCTTGGCTATAACTATATACCAGTAGATATGTCATTACCATATCCTAATATAAACTGACGGAAAAATATTGGCCAAAAACGGAATCGTAAATTCAACATTCTCACGGTGGCTATTGCGTTGTATTATTTAGTTCAATAAGCAAAGATATTTTTTTCATGGTAACCATTTATAATAATGTAATTATTGCATAAACGGAGCCATTATTATGGTTTTATGGCCAAATGATGACGTAGGAGATACACCAGAGGGTAACCTACCTAAATAATGTAGGTGATACCAACATCAACACCAACCAATTGCAATTGGATTACGGCCAAAACTAAAGTTCAAAATAAAAGGGAAGTAGACAAGCTAAAATCAAAGTCAAAAGCGATGGGCGAAAAGTATTATTAAAACAGTGATGAAAATGAAAGACAGAAGATCGTGAATATAGAAACATTTACTGACGTTTAATTGTCGGAGAAAAATTTTTTGGTTGGTACAAACCAATACACCTGCCTAATGGCACCTAGATAGGAAAATTGTGATTTTTAAAATGGATTCTTCCCCAATTAGCCGGGAATTACGAGTTATTTTTACTGTTGATAATAATAAAGAGGCCATATCTCTTCCAAACGTTGCAGAATTCCAAATTTCTAATAACTAAGAAGTTATCTATATCTCTTTATAACTCCCTCAATGATCTAGCTAATTTTTTTTACTGTTTTTCCGGGACTACCTTGGTGGTCACCTAAAACGTATTGGAGAGCTTTTCTGCCAGTTTAGATGTATTTAGCATGCGGGCCTCCAAATTCAAACACCTCTTCCTGAACAAAAAATTTCAGCGTGATTTGTATTAGACTGTGGAAGACATTTGGAGATTTAGGGGTCCTCCTTGCCCCATGGTGCACCTTAGTCCGCCACTGCACATAGTTATAAATTTAAAAGACGATTTTATGTCCATTTTTGTAAATTCCCTTATAAAATATGGCATTCAGTTTTGTTATTATTTAATTTTTGAAATTAAACAACTTTATTATTCCCCCCATAAATAATTCAAGTTTTTATTTTCGTTCGAAAATATTTTTGATTAAAACGTTAGTTGACTTCCCCAAATGCGGTTTAAATCATTTCGGGTTACCTTTTTATAAAGAAAATATTGTAATTCGATACAACATTTTCCATTTCGGTATTATCATATCAATGTCTATTCAAACATCTTAGGAGTTTATAAAAATCGAGTTTTAGTTGTCACGGTCTAAATAACATTGACCCATAATACAAAAATGGACAAAGGAAAGGTCAATTGTATAAAAAGGGACACATCACTTTTTATTGTAATATAATTGGAAGTACAAAACATGTCATAAAAGTGTCATAGGGCTTATTTACATCTTGTCTAAGATAACTTGATCAACTTGATTTCGGAATTTAACGAATTTTTATGCAAAAAACATGAGAAAATTTTTACAAAAGAAAAATTTGAATATAATAAAAAACTATATAACTATAGTTGTATAGTTTTTTATTATATTCTGGAAGTTATGTACATATATGTACATAACTTCCAGTACCTAATTTATATTTATACGGCACTGAGAAGCTTATTTCGTTCGTTCCCAGGTGTTGATATGATTGACAGAATTGTACAAAAAACCCCTTTTCACATTGTTATTGAACCTATCGCTTTAATCTCAGGATATATTTGTGACAATGGTTTAAAATCTTCCGAATATTTGGAAACATTAGGGTGATATTTCTCTTATTGTGGTTTAACGGAAAATCCTAATTATATCAAACAACCCCTCTGCGTATGTGTGAAAATACATCAAAATGTTAACATAGAGAAGCTAATTTAGATTAGTTTGCACAAAATATATACAGGGTGGATGAAAAGTTAAGATAACTTACCTCCCAAGCAAACATGGCTTCTTCAGGTTTTGTAGCCCATACTCCTTGGAACGGTCCATACCTCGTTCCTTTGAGGATGGTGGATTTGGCAAACACGCCACTCTCTCTCAACTCAATTTCTGGAGGTACTGCTCCACTAGCCAAAACGACTTCGATGGCCTTCGAGTAAATAGTGATTAAATTGTTCTGATTAAAATATTTGTATGCCTCTACAGACGATTTTTGCAAGAGATCCTTGATGCTTAGTTTTAGATTTTCTTCAGAGTGTGGGATATTGTTGTTAAAACTTTCTAAAGTTTTTGATGATGTTATTGGTGGATCATCAGTTGAGTGTCTACGTTTTCTGCGTTTTATTATGGACATTGTTTGTGAGTTGTTTAATTCTTCTTCGGTGTTGATTAAGGGTTCTCTCTCGTCCTCGCTACCCTCTGCAATAGAAAATATAACATAAATTTGCGCCTATTTTCCAAAGCGGCTTAACAAAGAAATTCACTTTTATCTAAAGCGAACACGGTACATTTTTATCTTGCAAAAACATAATAAAAACAGATATAAGAAGGCCCCCGGTTAAAGAAACATGATGCTTGGATACCGGAGAGGATCTACGATCCTAGACAAACAAAAGTAAGCTTAACTTCAAAGCCTTATATCGATATTTATATCTTTATCGTTCTACAAAGTAAACACCTGTTTGTAAATAAACTAAGACAATAAAACCCAGGCAAAAATTAATTTTACTTTGTATACAGGGTGTCATAATTTTTTTATTTAAAAGAACTCTAGCTCTAGAAATTGATGTTTTTGTTTGGTGATTTTCTGTACACCCTGTATTAAATCACTTGAAATCGCATGAAACTCGATAGGCAAACTCATTACTTTCAAGGAGCTAATATCAATGATGTTGTACATTTGGCACGATTTTGCAATTATATTCTTGGGTCATCGTCCTTTTGAAGATAACGCGTATATTCTTGACGATGGTGTTACAAATTGCATTGTGTTAGGTTAAGAACACGTGCACATATATTGTTTTTGATCGTAAAAATTACAATATGCAACAAAAATAATTTGTAAAAAAAAATATTATAAATTATTAAGATTTTTAAAATTTACATACTGTCAAAAAATTAATTAGTCAAAAATGACTAATTTAATAGTTATTAGTGGCTGCTTTAAACATGGTATCCCAAAATTTTACAATTCTTATGTAAAATTGTCCCCTGAATTCAGTTTTTGAGATATAGTTAATTTTCCATTTATTTATATAGTAAATTTTCCATTTATTATCGTAGAACTGACTAAATCCCAAAAACTGCTCCACTTTCATTATTTTTGACGGTATTTTCGGATTCAGGGGACAATTTTACATAAGAATTGGCTGTTAAATTTTGGGATACCATGATATTCCATGGTTAAATTTAAATTATTTTTTTTGTTGTTAACCGCAATAATACTTAGTTATCAAGTTATAGTATCAAGGAAATCCGTCTTTATATTTTCCAGGCTAATTAGTTAATAGTTTAGTTGAATAAATTATTTTTGCATGGTCTAAATATTAGATTTATTTTTTAATTGTATGCTACGACTGTTATTAATATTTAATAAACAGATTTAAAGGTTTTTAAGTAGAAATATAATAATACCAAAAATGTATGTTTTCAATCATAAAAATTCGTAAATAAAGAATACAAAAGCAAAAAATCTAAAATATACCAAAACCAATTGCATATTATTTTAAAAAGGTTTTCCTGTTAGTATATTCCCCATTCCATTTAAAAATGCACTAAATAAAATATTAATTAATACGAAAATTCAAATTAGATTTAAATTTTAACTTTGTTAGATTAATTTACTTTTTAATGTAGGTAACTTTTAAAACTTAAAATGTCCATAAAAAATATAATTTCCTGGTACAATTTTTTTTAATTATCACCCAATTAGACCTGATTAGAAAAAAGTAATTGATGAGAATAGACAATTTAAAATATAAAAGGTATACCTTTATACGTCAATCATGGAAGGATATTTTCAAGTTTTTCAAATGGAGTCCTGAAATTCCTCAATATTTTCTTCACAAAAATCTTAAAATACATTACTATAAAAATCTTCCAAGAACACCATTTAACTTAGTCTTGTCAATAAAGATAAAAGCGACAAAACAAAAACAACAGCTAGAGAAAAATCAGCGAACGTGCTTGTATAAGCGTGACAAAATTGTCGCGTGCATTGTCACTCTTATTCTTGTATGCATAAATTAAGAGTACGCCTGTCTGCAAAAATTATCTTTATTGTTTGAAATTTGAAGAAGAATACACCGATTGTCCCGTATTGTTTTAAAATGCACTATTGAAGATGTTAAACTGTTCCTGGAAACCGATTGTTTCCAATAATGATATGGATGACCAGAAGTCATCAAAATATTAATTAATAGACGTTTTATGCTGTAAAATGATTATGTATTTTGTATCTTCCCTAAATTAACTTCTTTGTTATGACACTGCTAGAATCACTATGTTTAAACTAAATTTAGTTACCTGTCATATTTCCTTGTAAAGTAATGTTAAATCAACTATAAACCAAAAAAATGTGGACACCCTTGGTACACAAGCACCACACTATCACTAGATATAGAAAGTTCTTTAGGATAAAAGGGATGTTGTTGAAGGACTTTAAGAGAAAATTGTGTATGTGACACGTCTCTTGCGGTATCGAGTTCGACACTGATTTTAGGATGATCCTGGATGTTGGAACTTCCTTTTTGGGGCGTGTAGAGAAGGGTGGAGCGTGAGGCCCGCCTATCCCACGGGATTTCCCCCTCCATTTGCTCCGATGCCAGCGGCCAGATACTATGCGATATCTTTGATATTCTGTGCGGTATCTGATTGCTTGGTTCGGGGGTCTTCGGCGAACTTCGGCTTGTGTGTGCCGATTGTGCGGTATGCAGGTTATTACATTTTGTGGGAGATGTGTATTTTTTCGGTTTTTATTTGTTGAAGGGTGTTTTTGTTGGAATAAAAGAGGCTAATTGATGTAGTGTACCTATTTACTTATTTGATTTATTTTATTATTAGAAAAGGGCTTAAAAGGATAATAGTAGAAATAAAAATCACACTCTTTAGGTAATCATTGACTAAATGTGTAGACATATGGACGATTCCATGATTACTAACGGGACAAGCAAAAAAAACAAAATTTTTTATGAAAATTTTTGAAGATGTGTTGTTCCTAGAATAATAATTTTATACCAGTCCTCAGCAAGCAATTATTATTATATGAACAACACATCTTAAAAATGTTCATAAAACATTTTGACTTGTTTTTGTTTGCCCCGTTAGTAATCATGGAATCGCCACTGTATGTGTTATTTTAAATCGGTTAAGTTGGTTAATAAATTGTATTTTAAGGTTAATTTTAAATTTAAATTATTTTTTTTATCTACCATGCTTTTATTTTAATAAACAAATGTATTAATTAATGTTTAAACTATCACATTTTTAATGAAAATGAAAATATTAATTTACACAATTAACCTTAAAACAGGGGCGGATCCAGGAGATCCTCAAGTGGGGCACTTGTTCAAGTACCTACAAAATATGGTCTAAAAGAGAGAATCACAGACATTTTAGAAACATGAGTGTTTGCGAATTTTTTTTTAGCATTTACAAAATTAATTATAAAAATATCCAAAACAATAATTAAAAAAAAACTCCATGAATACTTAAATTTCAATAAAACAAAACCTTTTTGTCCTTCTAAATCTAATTCATTTTTGTCAACACAACAATTACAAACTAAAAAATATAACGAAAAAAAGAAACCCAAATCTTTTCTCATTTTAATAGTTAAAATTTAAAATTGATGATTTATAATGAATCTGTAATATGAACTCTAACCTGCGATTTGACTTTTCTAAATTCACAAAACGGTTTATTACAATTTCAACGTGGATATATTAAAATCCAAATAAATATGTATACATAAGAGCGCTAATTCCAGAAGTCTTTTTGCGTCATCCAATCTCAGTCAACGTTTAAGGCATCTTAAGGCTAAAAAAATAACATTCTACCTAGGTATATCCATGTTTTCGCGCTGACAAATAAAAGATTTAATAAAAAAAGTAGTTGCAAGGGCCCAAGGGGAGGGCAACTGCATCCATTGTCCCCCTTTGGGTCCTCGCATTATTAGCTAAAATTAAGCGGTTTAAAACTCCATACATATATGTATACAGTGTTGAAATATGTCTTAAAATGTTTTCAAGGGATAACCAATCAATGATTAGTAATTGTTAATTCAGACTGTAAAGTTTTATGCACTCTCTAAAAATGAAATAGTCAAAATTCTACTATTTGAATTAGTACCAGAATTTTTTACTATTAAAATAGTCGTTTTCACTTTTAAATAGTTATTTTTTACTACGTAAATAGTTAAAGTTTGACCAATTTAAGATTAGTCACCATCTTTGACTATTTCTGAGAGTTAAAAGTAACTAATTTCTTTAATCGTTTGCGGCCAACAACAAAATATTTTTGAATTAAATGCATATAACCTAAGCTCCATGGTTAAATGACCCATAAAAACAAATAACAATAAAACAAAACAAAACAAAAAGTTTAGCTCAAAACAGCTACACAAATAATATATTCAACTTTAAAATATTATGAACAATATTTATTGACAAATAAAATTGATTTTTATAAGAATGGGTTATGACAACAACTTGACAAGCTTGACAAGTGACAGAGCTGAGTTCAATCCCCGGCTGGGTCAAAACTTTTTTTAAATTTTAATCTACTAATTTGTAGAGATGTAAAAAACGGTATTTTTTCAGGTGTGAAAAAAAACATGAAAAAAAACCTAAAAAAAAAACGGTTTTTTTTTGTTTTTTTTCAAAATGAAATTTTGAGTAAAATGTATATTAAAAATAAAGTGAAATGTAGAATATATTACATTTTTCATTATTGAAAATTTTGACCAAGACTAAAAATCTGATTTCTTATTATTTGGTAGTTTTCACATTAGAAACCAATAGCAATGTAAAACTTCTACACTAATACAAAAAATTAAAGGATAAAAAAATTTGTTTGCGATTTTTCGGATAGCTGTATCTTTGTTAAAAATGGTCGTATTGGAGCCGTAAAAAAAGTAATTTAAAGCTTGAAGTTTATAGTTTTGAGATTTTTAGACTTTTTCCCTCGTCTTAATTTCCACCAATTACAAACGAGCAATTTTGAATTACAAATGGTTTCTAGGTGAAAACACTGTGTGACAGCACCTGTCAGCAGTTTTTTCGAGTTTACCCGCGGCAAAACTGGACAGCTGTTGTCACCAAAAACTGCAATTTATATTTTAATTGTTAACTGTTACTCATGAAATAGTCTTGTGAAATACCATTCGGGCATCTAATTTTTCCTGTGAAAAAAATCGAAAA